ATATGCAATCATACACATATCAGTTGTCCAAACTAGAAAGCCATGAGGTATACTTTAACATTCTGGAGTATACTGTAATTATTACTTAATGGTTTAGGTATGTACCTAAATCCCTAGTCCAGGGATCAGCAAAATATTTTGTAAAGGGCCAGATAAATATTTTAGGTTTTGCAGGCCACATGTGGTCTATTGCATGTTCTTCTTTGTTTTATTACAATTATTGAAAAATGTAAGAAACATCTGGGGAAGTGGCTCACTCCTGAAATCCCAGCACTATGGGAGACAGAGGTAAGAGGACAGCTTAAGACCAGGAGTTCAAGACCAGCCTGAGCAATACAGCAAGACTCTCTTTCTACAAAAAAAAAAATTAAAAAATTAACTGGGCATGGTGGTACATGTCTATAGTCCTAGCTACTCAGGAGGCAGAGGTGGGAGAAATGCTTGAGCCCAGGAGTTTAAGACTGCACTGAGCTATGATCACACCACTGCACTCCAGCCTGAACAGAGTAAGATCCTGTCTCTTAAAAAAAAAAAAAAAAAAAAAAAGATATATATGGAACATTTTTAGTTCACAGCAAGCCAAGGGGCCAGAGGGTAAACTCTGAGTCATACTTTGCCAAATCCTGCTTTAGCCTAATGAATAATCAAAATTGTTTTGTTTTCTGAGACGGAGTTTCACTCTTGTTACCCAGGCTGGAGTGCAATGGCGCGATCTCGGCTCACCGAAACCTCCGCCTCCTGGGTTCAAGCAATTCTCCTGCCTCAGCCTCCTGAGTAGCTGGGACTACAGGCATGCGCCACCATGCCCAACTAATTTTTGTATTTTTAGTAGAGACGTGGTTTCACCATGTTGACCAGGATGGTCTCGATCTCTTGACCTCATGATCCACCCGCCTCGGCCTCCCAAAGTGCTGGGATTGCAGGCGTGAGCCACTGCGCCCGGCCAATAATCAAAATTATTAGAAAAATATTATGACTTTGTTTTTACATTATTTATAAAAACCAAAAAGCAGCCTATATACTCAACAATAGTAGACTAATAAAGCAAACAGTATAAATAGTGGCATGTCCATATGATGCAATTTTAGCTATTAAAATAACATTCATAAATGACTTTTAACGACAGGTGAAATTGCTTGTTATAAAATTAAGTGAAAAAACTGAATATGAAACTGGAAGAACAGCAAGATCTCAACCATGAAAAAATGCACATGAAAGTGATCCAAGGACTTTTAGTTAAAGGAGGCAGATTGAACACATACATTTAACTCAATCCCCACTCTCCCGCCCATAAAGACAAAGAAAATGAGAAGAACACAGAACACACTCTGAAAGCTGGAAAACAAAGGGACAAGTAACAGATGTATTAGGCTTAAGAAAACTAAATTCTAAACCAGCAGAGGGAAACCCCAAAAGCTACCAAGCTGTACTTTAGAAACTACCAAGTACTCAGGACTCAGGAACTGATGGCACCAGGTACCTCTTGGGGAAGGGGATGAAGGTGGGTTGAAAATCTACTTAAGAAGCAGTCAGATTCCCATGTTCCTTACCCCTCTCCTGCACCAGTGACCTACTCCTCACTCCTCCCCTATTCCTCCAGGTGGCAGACTAGAGGTTTGCCCTAGTAGACAATAAAACAGTGGCTGTCTGGTGATTCCATAAAAGAAATACTAAATATTGAGCCCTTAGTCCTCTTTTCCTACTTGGTTCCCAAAGTACCAGCAGCCAGGATTTCCAAAAAGAGAAAAAAAGAGTGAAAAAGAAAAGAAACAGATCAAAGAATTCAAGACAATTTCCTAGAAACATGAGTTTCCAGAATGAAAATGTCCACTGAGTACCCAACACAAGGCACAATAGTATGAAATTTCAGCACAGCAGTCTCGCAGTCCTAGGTCCTCTCTAAACTCTGTGATAACAAACAGGTGTCTAGGCTGGATGCAGTGGCTCATGCCTGTAATACCAGCACTTTGGAAGACTGAGGCAAGTGGATTGCTTGAGCTCAGGAGTTCGAGGCCAGCCTGGGCAACACAGCGAGACTCTGTCTCAATTTAAAAAATAAATTATTAAAAAAACAAAAAACACAGGTCTAACATAACCAAGACTACTCACCAGCAATACTACTTAAATAATAATCATTTCCCAAATTTACAACTACAGAACCCTGCATCATGTTAGTATTACCTGAAGAGGGGATTTAAAATTTGAGAAACCCAGGGTGAATTTCTCTTTTTGCAGGTTATCATAGTGTCTTTAACATGTTAATGTATACTGCAAATCTCTAAGAGGAGCATTTTCTAAACCTCCTTGTCCTCCTGGATGGAGTGGCTCACGCCTGTAATCCCAATACTTTGGGAAGCTGAGGCAGATGGATCACTTGAGCCTGCGTTCTAGACCAGCCCGGGCAACATGGCAAAACCCTGTCTCTACAAAAAAATGTAATAAAGTAAAAAATATGAATAAATAAATACAAGAGTTAAAATTCCTCATCCAAGCAACTTTTAAGAAACAGGGTCTCACTGTCCGGTGGAGTGATTATGGCTCCCTGCAGCCTTGAGCGATCCTCCTGCCTCAGCCTCCTGAGTTAACTAGGCACCACCATGCCTAGCTAACTTTTTTGCAGAGACAGGGTCTCACTATGTTGCCCAGGTTGGTCTTGAACTCCTGGCCTCAGCCTCCCAAAGTGCTGGGATTACAGGTGTCAGCCACTGCACTCAACCAAAAAATATTTTTACCTCAAAGGTCCCATAGAACGCTCTGAGATATTCTCCCTTAGGTTAAAACAGCTTCTCTCACCTAAAGATCTCTACTGCCTCAATCCTGCTAGCATCCTTGAGAAGAAGATAAAAGTCCAGAAAAACACATTTTTTGAGAGCAAAGTCCTTGGGCTCAAAAATCTCAGAACATACTGACTCATACTTCAAAACACCTTACTAGAATGACCAAGTCACTTTTTGGATTCAGATAGTAAGAATTATACAATCCATCCTGTTTCTCTTTTCATGACAACTTGGAAGAACAGAGTTCAAGCAGAGTAAATTATCCTTAGTCTAGGTTTCTGTAAACAGCCCCTCATCCTCTGATGCTCTCAAACCTCCACTAACCATCATAATGGCTTTTATCATAAGTTTATTCTTCAGAAAGCACTTAATAATGAAATAAATTACCCAGATAGTATTGTGCTGCTGCCCGGTTGGTATAAAGGACAGCATTCAAATCAGGATCTGCACATTTCTTCTTTAATCCTTCAGTGTAGGAAATCACAGCTTTCTTGTAGTCTTTTTCTTTAAAGTAATCATTGCCCTCATCTTTATAGGTCTTGGCCTGTTCTACAAAGAAGAGGAAAAATAATCACTATTCCACACTTTTAAAAAGCCTCTTTTTCCACACTTTTTAAAAGGCTCATTAAAAATAGATTCTAAATCATGCAGTAATGTACTATATGATACACCAAAGTGAAGAAACCAATAGGGAAAGGAAATTCAATGTTATGATAAAAATGGGTATCAACATGGACAAAGTCACACAAATTTGATGCTAATTCCAAATATCTTACAAGGTAGATTACTAAGAGCTTTCTCAAAAAAAGAAGTATAAAGGAAAAATGTATACTCATCCTAGCTATTGAAAAAAAGAATTTTTTTTAATCACTGAAGAAATCAGATGAGGGGCAGGGGGATTGATTATACTTCTGCTTTTGCTTATGCTGTTTATTCTGTGGAGTGCAAATTCCCCTCCTCACCCTAGTAAAAGCCTACAAAATTACAAAGAGTCAGCTCAAATTTCCTATCTGCCGTGAATCCACTCCTGCCCCTTAAAGTCTTCCAACAGGACCCATTACAGCTGTAGTATAACACTTACATGTTGACATTTATAGCACAAGTTTGTCTTGATTCTTTAAGACAATGGGCTTCTCACTGATCCTGACCTTGGAGGGCCGAACTGTGTCTTATTCATCCCTGTATCCCCAATCCCTACCACCTAGTAGGTATACAAAGAAGTCTGTTGGAATGAATAGTAACAAGTTAGATCAGGCTAACTACTTGTTAATCAGTCAGAACTCTTCTAACTCACACTTTATTTCTACAAAACAAATATTAGTCATGTTAAGATACCTTCTAGAGAACGATCTTCATCAAAAATAATTGACTGGAGACAAGCCAAGTCAGGATTCTCCCTGGGGTCAATTTCTGATGGTGCTTTCTTCATAAATAGGGGGACCTTTTCAAATTCCTGGAAATGGTTAAGAATGAACTACATGAAAAAGCTTTTCTACTGAACAGATCCAATTCCATGACTCAAAGTTTTTTCACTCATCATGATTTTCAAATCATCACAGTTAGCTGTATCCATTCAGGCCTCTCCTTCCCTTCTGTAAAATGGGAGTGGGGTGTAATGATCTCCAATGATTGTTTTAGTTCTCACATTCTACAAGAGCGGCAGGAATTACCATTAATTAAGCGCCCTAAAGTTCTTGGCACTTTACCAACTGTGTCTCGTTTCATCTTTGCTATTGGTGCTATAGTTCGGGCAATTTTACAGATGAGGAAACAGGCTCAGAGCAGTAAAGTAACTGATCCATATCAGAGCCAGTAAGTGTGGTTCTTAAACGTACTGACAGCTTAAGACGCAACTCAAAACCTTGAGGCCGATTTTCAATACTCAACTAGAAACCAGCCATCCGCTGGCAGCGCGAGGGATCTGGGATTGAGAGAGGCGCCCCCAAGCCCGGGTGCCCCACGAGTCCTGACGACGCCGCTACACACGTGCGGAGACCCCAGGACCGCCCACCTCCTCCCACTGGTCTTCATGAAAGCCGCCACGGTAAGGCTGGCTCTGAAACTTGTCCAGGAACGAGTCCATGACGTCGTCTGAGGTGGGGTCCTGCTCAGGTTGCTCCATAGCTGATCCCCTGCCCTCCAGCCCGGGTCCCTGAGCCGTGAAGCGACGAGCTCCTTCCGGCGGCGCAGGTGCCCTTGCCTCAATCCTCCGGGCGGCGCAAGCCCGCGCGCCTTGGGTTCCGCCGGCCTGGGGGCGTGGCCGGGCGTGGCCGAGACCGGTACGCTCCTCCCCCGGTCCGCCGCCTCGGCGGTGCCGGGCCTAGCCCGGCCCGAATGCTTTTGGGGTAAGCCCCAATGATTGCGTAAGCTCGAATCCCCGTAGCTCCCGTCTCACTTCATTCATTTGTTCGTCAGTCAGTCCACACATACTTAGCTCTTTCCGCGCTTCCGGCCTTTTCTAGAGGCTGGCTATGCAATGGTGGGTAGAGCAGATGAAATCCCTTGCCCTCTAGGAATTGCTAAGGCAGCGGGGAGGAAAGGACAATAAATAGACGAGATGTAAGAGTGTGTCAGGAGTAGCAAGAGCTATTGGGGAAAAGTTTTAAACAAGGCAGGCAGACATTCTGCCAGAAGCCTGGGAATGACCAGGAGGGGTCTGGGAAGGGCATTCCCATGGAAGGAACGGAGAATAGGCCGGAACCCTGATTCAGGAGGGTCTTCTGTGCTTGGGGAACAGCAAGGTGGCCAGTGGGGCCGACGCAGAGTGAGGAAGGGGAGGAGGAGATGATGAGGTGGGAGGATGAAAGGGCTGTGCTGCCGGGCGCGGTGGCTCACGCCTGTAATCCCAGCACTTTGGGAGGCCGAGGCGGGTGGATCACGAGGTCAAGAGATCGAGACCATCCTGGTCAACATGGTGAAACCCCGTCTCTACTAAAAATACAAAAAATTAGCTGGGCATAGTGGTGCGTGCCTGTAATCCCAGCTACTCAGGAGGCTGAGGCAGGAGAATTGCCTGAACCCAGGACGCGGAGGTTGCGGTGAGCCGAGATCGCGCCATTGCACTCCAGCCTGGGTAACATGAGTGAAACTCCGTCTCAAAAAAAAAAAAAAAAAAAAAGGGCTGTGCTATGAGGATTTGGCCATTTCCTAAGAGTGGGATGGGACCTTTTGGAGAGTTTTGAGGAAAGGAGAGACTGATCAGACCTCTGTCTCTGAACTTAGCACGCCTAATCCCCACAGCTTAGATGGAAACAGGGTCTCCAGTCCAGGTGCTGCAGGCCTGGCGAGAGAGCCGCTGTGGCTTCCCGCGGCCCCTACTGGCCAGCAAATGGCTGCAGATCCCTGCAACGCGCCTACAGCCTTGGGGAGCTCCTAGCTTGGTCTGGAAGGAAAAGCAGACAGGAAGCACACCAGTCTCACTGGCATTGGGTCACAGGTCTGCTCAGTGAAGGCACAGAGGGGTGGGATTCAAGGGGATGCAGAGCTGAGATCAGAGCTGAGGAAGGTCTCTGCAGATGGATAGAGGACTGGGCATTTTAGGCAGTGGGAGCTCATATGTGGAGAGAGGCATGGAGGTGTGCACCTGCCCGCTATGCTGCCTACTACAGCAAGTGTTCCAGAGGTGTGGCCAGTAGGTGGGTAGGGGCCAGAAGGCCTGCCTGCCCTACTAGCCTTGGTCCTGCAGGATGGTGAGCCACTGAAAAGACCTAAGAGGAGCAAGGGCTGTGAGCACATTTGTCTTAGGAAGGCCTGGGCTGCCAGATGAGGCATTGATGGGGTGAGGTTGGTTAAGAGATTGACAAGGAGGATGCTGGTAAGAGACCAAGGGAAAGGAGAGACCTGAAGTCCAGCAGTGGAGCTGGCAGAGTGGTCGTTCTTTGATATGGGCATAGAGACAGCAGGGCTAAGGATGATGCCTGGGGACCATGAGCTTTCCAGTGCTGGGACTTTCTTTTTTCCCTTCTGAGTCTCCCACACCCAGCAGAACACCTGGTCCTAGTGCTCTCTTTTCTCCAGATTCAAACTGCCTTTTCCACACTTCCTCCTCCAGCCCTGCTCCCTAACCCCCTCTTCATCATCTTTTCCTTTACTGAGTGCAGAGCCTACAAGGTATTTTTGATTTCTTTCTTTTTTTTTTCCCCGTTTGATTTCTGTAAGAACATGAGGTACGAGCCCATTTTATAGGTAACAATAGGGGAAGCTAACAAAAAGGAAGTGACTTGCCCAGCACTCTCTGAACCTTCCTACTCAAAACTACTTAGGGGCCTTGGCCAATAACTGAGCCGATCAGCCTCTGCTGATCATAAACAGCAAACATTTATTTCTCACAGTTATGGATGCTGGGAAGTCCAGGATCAAGGCCTGGCAGATTCAGTGTCTGGCGAGGGCCTGTTTCCTGGTTCACAGACGCCATCTTTTCACAGCGTCTTCCCGTGGTGCAAGCGCTCTGAAGGCTCTTTTATAAGGGCACTAATCCTATTCGCTAATCCCTAATCCTCTCTCAAAGGCCCCCCCACCTCCTAATTTCACCACTTTGGGAGTTCGGATTTCATATGAATTCAAGAGGACACAGTATTCAGACCACAGCAGCAGCCAGCTGCCCTGTGGATATCTCCACTAGCTTCCGGCACAGTCCCTCAAACTTACTATGCCCGGCTTGAACTCATTCCCTTCCCCCACAGCCTGCTGCTGGTGCTGGATTCACCACTCATTTTGAGGTCCATTGGCTCAGTCATCCACCCAGAAACCCGGGTGCCAAACTCAGTGCCTCCCTCTCCCTCCTCCATTCTGTCAACCACTAGGTTCTGCACTTCCCTTTCTCAGTCTCCCGCAGGGCTGGCCACCCTCTCCATTTTGTCCTGCAGGGTCTGGCCACTGTTGTCCCAGCAGTTTCTGCTGACAGTACTCTTGTCCACCCTGCCATCCAGCCTTCTCACTCCATGACATAGCGAGCTTCTTCTGCTTCCTTTTTAATTTATTCCCTTTTATCCCCCAAAGCCCTCCTCCTTACCCTAATCAATCATTCTAGCATCTTCTATTAGCATTTTTATTTTGTTTTATAGAGATAGGGGTCTCACTATGTTGCCCATGCTGGTCTCAAACTCCTGGCCTCAAGTGATCCTCCTGCCTCAGTCTCCCAAAATGTTACAGGTGTGAGTCACCACACCTGGCCTCTAGTGTGTTCACTGTGTCTTCTCAGTTTCTAAGTATTCTTGCAAAATGTAAATGCTTTTGTATGTACATTTTTTTTCCTTTTTTTTTTT